ATATATATATATTATATTACATAGATTAATAAAATATTTATAATTAATAAATTTATATTGAAATAATATAAAAAAATTCCTATTTAAACAATAACTGAAATATAAAATTTGTTACTCTTATTTATTTTTAGAATAAAAGAAATACAAGATCATTAGTTTTGAAAACGAAAATAAATAAATAGAATAAAATAATTAGCAAAAATACATAACTTATAAATCTATTCAGATTTTCAAAAAATAAAAGTAAAAAATATCCCTATTTACAAAATGAATATTAAATAAAAGGTAAAAATAGTTTCAGCAAATTTAAAAGTTTACATAAAAAAGGTATTTCATATGTCTTATTTTTATCAAAAGAATTAGGGTAAGTAAAAAAAAATAAACTAAAAATCATCAAAATAAATTTTTATATATTTAAAAAAGAAATGAATCAATTTAATAGTTTTATAATTTTATATTTAAATTAGAGGTTTGAAAGTAGAGAAATTCAAAATTGCACTTTTAGTCAGAGTCAGGAAAGAAAAAAAAAGAAGTAAAAACTAAAATTTGATAAGAAAAAAAAAATACTAACTAAATTTTTGTTTTGTTTATATAATAAATTACAAATTTTATTAAATAAATAAAAAAACTTTAAAAAAATAGTAACATTCATTATGTTTATTAGTAACAAAAAATTTGTAGTTTTTTCCTTTTGATTAAAATAATTAATTTATTTTAGAAATTATTAGGAACAAATTAAAAAAAGCTATAAAACACACTAAATATATATAAATGTATATTTATATAAAAAAAAATTAATATGAGTTATTTAAATAATAATTATTATAAAATTTGTGTTTATTTAATATTTATTTTATAAAAATATATATTTTTATAAAATAAATAACTATATTACACAATTGAAATTTCCTTTAAAAAACTGCCAAAGATTATATTTCTAAAACTTTTTTTAGACGGATTTTTCAACAAATTTATTTTCAAGAATTATATAATTATTAAATATGATTTCCTCTAAAATCCATATTATGAATTTATTTTCTTATTCTTTTACCCCTCCACCATCTCCTCTTTTTAGTTTAATTAAATTATAATTAATTTTAATTTCTGAATATAATAAAAAAAGGTAATAATTTTTTTAATATATATATATATATATAATTATTAAATTAATTTTTTTATATTAATTTATAATATTGAAAATCATTTTTTATTAATAAAAATATAAAAAATAAAAAAATAATATTTATTAAATACTATATAAAAAAATATTTCGTTTTCTCTTCCTTGTGCATATTAACCAAAATTATTAGACACGATAGAAAAAGATGATTATACTTGATTTATATAAATAATAAAAATAAACTTTTTTTACTTTACTTTTTTTTAAAAATTATCACAATAATAATTCAAATAAAACATATACAATAACAAAACCAAAGACTCCTTAATAACTATTATATTATTAAATCTCGCTTTAAAACTAATTTAATAATCTAGACTTCTTCGGTAGTACTTTGCATTATTTTTATTACTCATTATATGTATATCCATAAGCACATTATGTGCATTTAGTTTCCGTACATTCTTTACAATTACTGTATTTTTTTAAGCAAGTAACACATTATTTCATGTTATTATCAAAAATTAAACCTTAATTACATGATAAGCATTTTCCAGGTTATTTACATTCTTACATCCGGTTGGGCATTATATTCCTTTATTTCCTGGTATTCCAGTATTTCCTTTGTTTCCTGTAACTCCAGTATTACTAGTATTTCCAGTAGTTCCAGATTTTACAGTAGTTCCAGTAGTTCTAGTAGTTCCAATAGTGCCAGTAGCTCCGGTAGCTCCAGTTTTTAGATTAGTTCCAGTAATGCCAGTAGTTCCAGTAGTGCCAGTAGTTCCAGTAGTGCCAGTAGTTCCAGTTTTTACAGTAGCTCCAGTTTTTACAATAGTTCCAGATTTAACAGAAGTTTATTTGCATTATTTTTAAATAGAATCAATTTAATATCCATTATTACATTTTTTACATTAGAGATTATCACATGATTAACAATTAGCATATTTAGAAGAACATTTAACACAAAATTTAGTTTTAGTATCAACATAATAACCTGCTTCGCATTGCATACAACCTGATTTATTACATTATTAACATTATTGTGAACATTTTTCACATTTTCCAATACCATCAGATAAAAAACTAGAACTTGGACATCTTTCTACACAACTAGCACCATAAATTTTTAAGTTATTTCTCTCGCAAGCTAAACACTGTTCTACATTTTTAGGATTACATTAGGAACAATTTTACTTACATAAAGTACATTTTTTATCTGAACCTAATCTATATCCTTTACTAGTATCACATAACTTGCATGTACTAGAATCATTTTATTAAAGA